GTGTGTGTGTGTGTGTGTGTGTGTGTGCATGTGCGAGTTTGCGCGCGTGTGTGTGAGTGTGTGCGGCGGAGGGATGGGGGAAGGGGCGGGGAAAGATGAGGTTAATGCGGAATGCACTCATTTTTTTCTTAATATGCCATATCTTTTCTTACATAGTCAAACCTATTTATTGTCGTATTTAGATAGATTTACAGATAGCTACCAAAAAGTCCCATTATTGTAATCTGATCAATGACGGTGCCATGATCTATCTCCCCACGTACCCCTCCCACGTGCCTTTCCTCTAGACAATTTAAATTACCTCGTATCTTGTTGTCGACGAGAAGTGTGTCCTTTAACAGTGTTTCTGCCTTTTGACCCTGAGTAAAATCTAATTGGCTTGACTTTTATGTTAGTGTCAACTCTGATATAAATATATTTCAGCCTTTGTCTTATCTTAATCGATATCTTTCGTCAACAGAGCACTCTCGCGTCTGCCGGCTCTGTATACTGAAGACGCCAAATAGAATTACATTTGTACACCCGTAATTTAATACCTAAATGTGTCGTAAAAGATACCGTCCGTGTTTATTTCAGAATTTAATACTTCGAAAATGATCACGTCATGGTAATTTAAAAATTCAGTGCTCCCTAAATTATGTAGCGCAATGCAAATTCCAGAAATAAATACTTCTGTTAAATGCTCGAGAGATATGTACTCAATGGGAAAGTCTCTGTGCTTTCATGCCGATCCTCCATTGCTTTGCGAATGACGTCTCAGGTTCCCGAAGAGAAGGCAAATTGCTCAAGGTTTGCTCACTATTTGTCTAGAGCTAACTTCCAGCTGGTCAATGTTCACCTAGCGTTCCCCAGATCCCCACAAAAATAGCAAAACTGCCAATAAGGATATTGATGTTCTAAACCAAGCAGGGAACTGAATAATTATCCCCCAACCTTTCCCTCAAGTTGACCCCCCCCCCCCCATATTTGTATTTCCCCTTTCTAAACAAACTCACCAGCTTAGTCAACTGTTTTGGGGAAGGTGGTTCCCAATTCGCAACCAGACTTCACACTTTGCACTCTCGAAGTTTCCAGACCACGAGATGTTTGAC